CCTTGTTTCAAGCATTGGGTGTAGGCTTGGTAAGGGGATACCTGAACAACATGGGTTGTAAATAGGTGATGTCTTTGATGCCTTCGGGGGGGCAAGACTTAGAAAAAAGGAGGGACCATCTGTCTGTAGACACAATCTTGTCGTCCCCACAACTTCTCCTTCAGTCTTCAGCCAAATTTCAGGAAACCTCACTGAACCAATGATCAACACACTCATAATTTGTGCATTTGCAATTAATGTTTTGATTCGGCCGTATTGTTGGGGAGTCAGGGCTCTTTTTACAAAAGGTAGTTTGAAAATGTTAATCACACTACTCCTTCCAAAGTACTGCAATAATTTGTATGATACTGTAATTGGTACATGTAATACTTGCATTAAGAAAATATGAATGAAATATATAAATTGGAGTTACCTCCCCTATTTGTAAAGGATATGCTCCTTTGTTTCAAAGTGTTCTCAAAATAACTATTCTTATAGTTCTTGCCACAGACAGAGGTATAGGTATGCTATTCTGGCTATAGTTCTAGTTAACACATGGGTGATACATGGCCAATGAGCCTCTTGTTGCTATGAAAAAAACAACTCAATCAATGAGATTTGAGTATATGATATGATTACAAAGAAAAAATGATTATACAATGTTGATTTCAGAATAATATAAAACCCCAAACAATTGGTGCTTGTGACCCAAACAACACATTAGCAGACAAACCAACCTTCATTTTGTATTTAAAAATTTGTCCTTGAGTAATATACATTAAATGTCAAACCAGTTGATGCACCGACAATATATAAAAGATAATACCCACACTATTGCCAATCTTTAAATCCGGAAACCCAAAGAGAGTTACAAATTTTGTTATATAAATCACAGACTGGTACTGAAATACAGGATATTGCAGGACAGAATCCAATTTATTTTCCAGGCTTTGGAATAAAAAGAAAAACTAATGCATTCATAGAGTTTTTCTGATGACATGTTCAAATAAATACAGTCAGTAACAAACATATATAACTGCTACAAAAACAAAATACAATAAAACCCATCACTAACATAATGCTTCTTTATGTATTTTGGGGTTTTCAAATAAGCGGAGCAAAGTTACCTAGTGTTTGTTTGCATCTGTGTACAAAATCAGATTTCTTGTTTCAATATATGCTTGCCACATGCTAACATGGACGATATGTGTCATGAAATAACAATGTTGTTGGATGTTGAAGTACCATACCTCAAAATATTGTATCTTTGTTTAACCGACAGCTGCATTCCTTAGAGAACATCCTGTTCGTGGAGGAGGGAAAGAGGGTAAACATTACAGTATTTGTTCTTAAAATCGCTGTGACCCTTCATAAACATATTGTGCATTTTTTATCTTAAACAATTACTGTACTTGTTCCAATGATAGTGATGACCCTTTGTAAACATCGTATTTATTGTGCTTCATAGCCATTTACCGTACTTGTTCTAATAATTCAAGAGGCTTTGTAAATATTTACCGCACTTGTTCCAATGAAAGTGATGACCCTTTGTAAACATCAGAATATATTGTGCTTCATAGCCATTTACCGTACTTGTTCTGATAGTTCAGGAGGCTTTGTAAACTGTTACAGTACTTGTTCTAATAAATTCAGGAAGCTTTGTAAACAATAACCGTACTTGTTCTGATAAATTCAGGAGGCTTTGTAAACTGTTACAGTACTTGTTCTAATAAATTCAGGAAGCTTTGTAAACAGTTACCGTACTTGTTCTAATAAATTTAGGAGGCTTTGTAAACAGTTACAGTACTTGTTCCAATAAATTCAGGAAGTTTTGTAAACAGTCACCGTACTTGTTCTAATAAATTCAGGAGGCTTTGTAAACTGTTACAGTACTTGTTCCAATAAATTCAGGAGGCTTTGTAAACAGTAACCGTATAGTACTTGTTCCAATAAATTCAGGAAGTTTTGTAAACTGTTACAGTACTTGTTCTAATAATTTCAGGAAGTTTTGTAAACAGTTACCGTACTTGTTCTGATAAATTCAGGAGGCTTTGTAAACAGTTACCGTACTTGTCCTTATTCCTATACAGATATCTACCATAATCGTTGTAATAGGCAATTAGTCTTTATATAGTGATGTAGAAAAGAATGTTGGAAGATATGAAAGCAGTGCACCATTTTAGAGTATTAAGCTATGCAATAGTTTTTCATACTCTTCATAATTATACATTTACAAAAATTGTATTAATAAAGCTTTTGATAAGAAATTTTAACTTCAGTCTGTGCCCTGAAGGTAAACAGGTGTCTTATCTATTATTAGTATTGCATGCCTCATATCCCATTAACACAAAAGAGGTGTTATAAGGGCCAATAAAAGGTCGAAAAGACAGGTTAAACGAAATGACATCAAACAAACACAAGGTAAAAGACAAACGTTAAATTGAAAAGTAAAAGTGGCTATACTTAGTTTTATTTGAACAGACCAACAGTCTTTTAGGTTCGTTAGAACTGTACAGATATTTATTGTTTTGAAAAGAGAATTGAGATTTACTTAGACTATCAGAATCATCACTGATAGAATCTTTAAGAAACGTGAGGACATTATTCCTTTGAAAAAGGTCCTCAATATTGACAAGGAGAATGCCATTCTCTCGCTTTGACTAAAATTAGGGATATTTTAGTATTTGTTTTGTCCATCGATACGTCTGTGCTGGGATATTTTAGTATTTGTTTTGTCCATCGATCCGTCTGTGCTGGGATATTTTAGTATTTGTTTTGTCCCTCCATCCGTCTGTGCTGGGATATTTTAGTATTTGTTTTGTTCCTCCATCCGTCTGTGCTGGGATATTTTAGTATTTGTTTTGTCCCTCTATCCGTCTGTGCTGGGATATTTTAGTATTTGTTTTGTCCCTCCATCCGTCTGTGCTGGGATATTTTAGTATTTGTTTTGTCCCTCCATCCGTCTGTGCTGGGATATTTTAGTATTTGTTTTGTCCCTCCATCAGTCTGTGCTGGTGGGTTTCTGGTTTCTGGATCATATTTCAGCCACTTTTTTCATGAATTAAACTATATACATAGATACATCATGGGAAGGCAATGTGGCACATCCTAAAACAAGGTCACCGAGACTTAAATTTGACTTTTGACCTTGAATTTGAATACTAAATTAATGATTTCCAGAGCGTTTCTCAACTACTGTTTCATGAATAGGCATCAAACATTATATATATATATATGTACATCATAGGAAAGTGGTGTATTGCATATGAAAACAAGGTCACAATGACCTCTATTTGACCTTGACCTTTAATACATACTAAGAGCTTATCTCAGCCACTGTTTCCTGAATGGGCATCAGACTTTGTGTCCAGAACATCGCAGGAAGACAAGTGTATCATGTAAAATGAGGTCAATTGTTGTTACAACTATTTGACCTTGACCTCAATTACCAAAACACAGTATAGCATAGATTTGCAAAGCATATCTTGACTACCATTTTAAGATGTTTGTAAACTTCAGACTTGGTTTGAGTGTACTTGATAATCAAGGAATATATTGGGTAATAAAATTGGTTCGAATCCACCTCATTATGGTTTTTAGGTCACCTGAGCTTTGCTCAAGTGACCTATTCCGATCACTTTCCTTCGTCGTGTGTCGTGCGTAAACTTTTTACATTTTCAACCTCTTCTCAAGAACCAGTTGATGGAATTTGTTCAAACTTGGTCAGAATCATCCTTGGTAGATGAGGCTACATCCCTAGGGGCCAGGGCAGGGCCCCAAAGGGAAAATTAACCAATATTTCAAAATTCTTCTTCTCCAGACTCAGAGGTACTTAAGTCATTTTCTCTGCATGGATGGAAAGATCATCAGGGGTTTTATTTAAATTGTAAATTTCAGGACCCCCCCAGCTATCCATTCTGCCTTGGTGAGGGGGTAAAGTTTACTATAGTTTATATAGGGAAACAACACTTTTGGGTATATTTTGACAATTTTCTGTAGGAAATTATTCTTACTTGGTGAGAATTATTCTTGGAGAAAGATGGTTATAAATTGTAAAATCGGGATTCCTACCCTAACCCTAGGGACCAGGGCGGGCCTCAAAGGGAAAATTAACCAATATTTCAAAAATCTTCTTACCCAGACTCAGAGGTACTACAGTCAATTTCAGTGCAAGGATAGAAAGATCATCAGGACCTTTTTTGAAAATGTAAATTTCAGGTCCCCTGAGCAATCCGTTCCCCCTTGGGGAGGGGGTAAAGTTTACTATAGTTTATATAGGGAAATAACACTTTTGTGTATATTTTATCCATTTTCAGCAGAAAATTATTCAAACTTGGTCAGAATCATCTTTGGTGGATGGAATATAACATTGTAAAATTGGAATTCCTGCCCCATCCCCAGGGGCTAGGGCAGGGCCCCAAAGGGAACATTCACCAATATTTTAAAATTCTTATCCTTTGATTACATGACAAGTATTGTATTTCACTTAGTTTACATGCTGATTTCCACATCACATCTAAACCATAAAACAAAGCTACCAGTACCTATGATATAACTCAGGTGACTGCTAAGGCCCTTGGGCCTCTTGTTAACATACAACAGGGGCGTAGATATCTTGGCTACCATTGTAAGTATGGGTGTCAGACTTGATGTGAAGGTGGTCACAGTATGGTGTATTGAAAGTAGGTTCATGAGGTCAGCATCCAGCTATTTGACCTTGACCTCAAGTACCCAACATTATCTATATAGGAACAGTTATGTCTGGAGTGGGGATATCCATGAAGCCCTAATGCTTAGAGTTAAATCTGGTTTGTATAGTAATTGGTTTGACCACAGCGTCCATATTAGGATATGATTAGTATATAATAATCATGTGATTGGTCATTGTAAATACATTTATGAATTGAATGTCTTCACCATTGGTTGAAAGGAAATTAATGACTATCAATAATGCCCCCAACTCATCATTCAATTTATTTTAGTAAAAGTACAGACTGTCAACATGATATTTTTTCTTTCAGAACTAGACTTCAACAAGGAAAGGCGAAAATATTGGCCACCCTGGTTCCCATGGTAACAGTCGGTAGATGTCTGGTGTGAGGAGGCTTCATCAGTGAGGTAACAGTAAAAAATGTACCCTTAATGTCAGGGCTGAGGTGATCCATCTTTGTATCAATTTGTGTATGTTTGTGGCGTGTTTTAAAATTGTATGTATGCCTTATAGTTTGCACTAGAGAGAATCTGCCTTTAGCTCAGTCAGTATGGCCGTGGACTGGGAAGCTGGCACTCACGGGTTCCAGCCCCTGTGGAAGTATTTACTGAAATAACAAGGATTTTTAACTCTGAGATTTTTTATTTTAGTATTAGATGAGTTTATTGTTTACTCAATCATAGTTTGTAAAAGCACTGTTTTCCTGCGTGCAAATGACCAGTGTTTTGGTCAACATATATACAAATTACAAACAAATCACTAAGCGTGGTATGCCAAGATGGTAAAATCAGCCTTTGTGTTCTAGATATTTCATATGCGTATCTTATCCGTTCCATATACTTTCATCTTAAACTAGTAAATTAGGACTACTGGCTGTAGCATCAAGAAAATATCAGTTGCACACAGCTTGTTGATGAAATAAAACCGAGGCATCATGTGACAAATGTCTCCATGGGCAAAAGTACAGCCTTATCTAAATAATGGCTTATCTATAGGATGTAGTCTAACAGTACTGATGTAATCTAAATAATGGCTTATC